TCCCCCTTACATCAGGATACCCATCAGAATCCATCTTACATCAGCCCCCTTACATCAGTCCTCATCAGAGTCCTTCTTACCTCAGAGTCTTACTTACAGTAGGGTCCCCATCAGAGTCCCCCTTACATCAGGATACCCATCAGAATCCATCTTACATCTGCCCCCTTACATCAGTCCTCATCAGAGTCTTTCTTACAGTAGGGTCCCCATCAGAGTCCCCCTTACATCAGGATACCCATCAGAATCCATCTTACATCAGCCCCCTTACATCAGTCCTCATCAGAGTTCTTCTTACCTCAGAGTCTTACTTACAGTAGGGTCCCCATCAGAGTCCCCCTTACATCAGGATACCCATCAGAATCCATCTTACATCAGCCCCTTACATCAGTCCTCATCAAAGTCTTTCTTACATCAGAGTCTTACTTACAGTAGGGTCCCATCAGAGTCCCCTTTACATCAGAGTCCTAATCAGAGTCCCCTTACATCAGGGTCCTCGTCATAATCCTCCTTACATTGTCACAAGAGTCTCCTCCTGCTTCTGATCGCCTAGGCGATTGCAACAAAAGTGGGAGCGGGTACATGTCAAATTCGGGTACCCGCCCCCCCCCCCCCTTAACGGGGAGAGGGGACCAGTCCTTAAAGCAGAACTTCCCCTTTTGGGTGGAGCTCTGCTTTAAGGGTTCCTTAAATGTTATCATACAGGATTATTATTTTATTATTATACAGGATTCCACCTACCATGACCACCAATCTATGAGATCACTTCTACACTGATCACCAATATGGGGGGGCATTCCTACACAGATCAACAATGTCAAGGGTCACTTCTACGCTGACCACCAATGTGAGGGGTCACTTCTACGTTGACCACCAATGTGAGGGGTCACTTCTACATGGACCACCAATGTGAGGGGTCATTTCTACATGGACCACCAATGTGAGGGGTCACTTCTACATGGACCACCAATGTGAGGGGTCACTTCTACATGGACCATCAATGTGAGGGGTCACTTCTACGCTGACCACCAATGTGAGGGGTCACTCCTATACTGACCACTGACGTAAGGGGTCACTTATACACTGACCACCAATGTAAGGGATCACTTCTACACTAACCACTAATGTGAGGGGTCACTTATACCTTGACCACCAATGTAAGAGATCACTTCTACACTGACCACCAATGTAAGAGATCACTTCTACACTGACCACGAATTTGAGGGTTCACTTCTACACTAACCACCAATGTAAGGCATGATTACTACACTGATCTCTAACCACTAATGTAAGCAGTCATTACTACACTGACCACCAATGTAAGGGATCACTTCTAACTTGACCACCATTGTAAGGAGTCACTTCTACACTGACAACCAATTTGAAGGGTCACTTCTACACTGATCACCAATGTAAGGGATCACTTCTACACTAACCATCAATCTGAGGCATCATTACTACACTGCTCACCAATGTAAGGAGTCACTTCTACAATGACTACAATTTAAGGGACCATTTCTACGCTGCGCACCAATGTGAGGGGTCACTTCTACACTGACCTCCAATGTGAGGGGTCACTTCTACACTGGCCACCAATGTAAGGGATAATTTCTACACTGCCCACCAATGTGAGGGGTCACTTCTACACTGGCCACCAATGTAAGGGATAATTTCTACACTGCCCACCAATGTGAGGGATCATTTCTACACTGCCCACCAATGTGAGGGGTCACTTCTACACTGACCTCCAATGTGAGGGGTCACTTCTACACTAACCTCCAATGTGAGGGGTCAATTCTACACTGACCTCCAATGTGAGGGGTCACTTCTACACTGACCACCAATGTGAGGGATCACATCCACACTGACCACCAATGTGAGGGATCATGTCTACATTGATCGCCGAATTAAGCGATCACTTCTACACTGACCACCAATATGAGGGGGGCATTTTCATATCTGGCCATTATTACATTTAATATTGTAGTATAGAGCAGGGGCATTCTGCCTTTTTCTTCCATTTAAAATGTTATACAACTTTCTGATGGAGCTAACGTACCACGACCTGCAGATATAATTTTTTTGGATGGGATCCCTGACACCTCAAAATTATTTCAAGGGTTCCTCTTGTGCAGGAAGGTTGAGAAAGGCTGATTTAGAGCAATGGATATAAAATGAAAAAATCTGATGACCTCAGCAGGTGGGAGGAGATGCTGGGGATTCTGATGGAGGTCCTCGGGGAAGTCAAGGTGTTTCATACATCAGTTTTGCACAGACTGTCCTTTTAATCATCATCTGAAAATCTAGAACAGCTTTAAGCAGGACGGTCCAGTCCGCTGAATCAGTCAGACGCAGATCTGCCTCTCCTGGCATGCCGCCCTCTTTTGATGAGCTTTGGCATGGATCGTCTTTTGCCTGGAGGTCCTTCTGTTCCAAGTAAGTTCTTTAAGCCGCTTACATTGCTGTCATCCCCTCCGCAGTTCCTAACATACGTGATGCCGCACTCCACAAAAGAGGGGGTGCGCTATGTTTCCTGGACCCCCCTTTACACTAATAGGGAGTACAAGGGAGTGGTGGGGTTTCTAAATTTGGATAAAAGGATTTGCAAGACAAGACTCCAGCAAGTATGCCATTACTGCGACTCTCTGCAAGCCCATTGTTCTATACAAGGAAGAGGAAGCTGGATTATAGTAGTAATAAACCCTCCTCTATTTTACTGTAAAGTATCCATGTCTATATAGCAGGGGTCTCCATACCTACACCATACAAAAGGCCAGATTACGGTCCTGAGCCTTTAGGGGGGCTGTACTGTGGCCAGTGGGAGTAAAAATGCCCCGGTGTCAGTGGGAGCAGGAAGGAGCAGCTGTGGTCAGTAGAAGGAGGAATAGTTCCCCATCATTGGTATGCAGTGGAAGCAGTAGTGTCCCATCGTTGGTGTCAGTGGGAGGAATAGTATCCTATCATTGGGGTCAGTGAGAGGAAAAGCATCCCATCATTGGTATCACTGGGAGGAATAGTGCCCCATCATTGGTATCAGTGGGAGGAATAGTGTCCCATCATTGGTATCAGTGGGAGGAATAGTGCCCCATCATTGGTATCAGTAGGAGGAATAGTGTCCCATCATTGGTATCAGTGGGAGGAATAGTGCCCCATCATTGGTATCAGTAGGAGGAATAGTGCCCCATCATTGGTGTCAGTAGGAAAAATAGTGCCCCATCATTGGTATCAGTGGAAGGAATAGTGCCCCATCATTGGTGTCAGTAGGAGGAATAGTGCCCCATCATTGGTGTCAGTGGGGGAATAGTACCCCATCATCGGTATCAGTGGGAGGAATAGTGCCCCATCATTGGTATCAGTGGGAGGAATAGTGCCCCATCATTGGTATCAGTGGGAGGAATAGTGTCCCATCATTGGTATCAGTGGGAGGAATAGTGCCCCATCATCGGTATCAGTGGAAGGAATAGTGTTAAATCATTGGTGTCAGTGGGAGGAATAGTGTCCCATCATTGGTATCAGTGGGAGGAATAGTGTCCCATCATTGGTATCAGTGGGAGGAATAGTGTCCCATCATTGGTTTCAGTGGGAGGAATAGTGTCCCATCATTGGTATCAGTGGGAGGAATAGTATCCCATCATTGGTTTCAGTGGGAGGAATAGTGCCCCATCATTGGTATCAGTGTGGGAGGAATAGTGTCCCATCATTGGTATCAGTGGGAGGAATAGTGTCCCATCATTGGTTTCAGTGGGAGGAATAGTGTCCCATCATTGGTATCAGTGGGAGGAATAGTATCCCATCATTGGTTTCAGTGGGAGGAATAGTGTCCTATCATTGGTATCAGTAGGAGGAATAGTGCCCCATAATTGGTATCAGTGAGAGGAATAGTGTCCTATCATTGGTATCATTGGGAGGAATAGTGTCCTATCATTGGTATCATTGGGAGGAATAGTGTCCCATCATTGGTATCATTGGGAGGAATAGTGTCCCATCATTGGTGTGAGTGGGAGGAATAGTGTCCCATCATTGGTATCAGTGGGAGCAATAGTGTCCCATCATTGGTTTCAGTGGGAGGAATAGTGCCCCATCATTGGTATCAGTGGGAGGAATAGTATCCCATCATTGGTTTCAGTGGGAGGAATAGTGCCCCATCATTGGTATCAGTGGGAGGAATAGTGTCCCATCATTGGTATCAGTGGGAGGAATAGTGTCCCATCATTGGTTTCAGTGGGAGGAATAGTGTCCCATCATTGGTATCAGTGGGAGGAATAGTATCCCATCATTGGTTTCAGTGGGAGGAATAGTGTCCTATCATTGGTATCAGTGGGAGGAATAGTGCCCCATAATTGGTATCAGTGAGAGGAATAGTGTCCTATCATTGGTATCATTGGGAGGAATAGTGTCCTATCATTGGTATCATTGGGAGGAATAGTGTCCCATCATTGGTGTGAGTGGGAGGAATAGTGTCCCATCATTGGTATCAGTGGGAGCAATAGTGTCCCATCATTGGTATCAGTGGTAGGAGTGCCCCATCATTGGTATCAGTGGGAGGAATAGTGCCCCATTATTGGTGCCAGTGGAAGGAATAGTGTCCCATCATTGGTATCAGTGGGAGGAATAATGCCCCATTATTGGTGCCAGTGGAAGGAATAGTGCCCCATCATTGGGGTCAGTGGAAGGACTAGCACCCCATTATTGGCGTCAGTGGAAGCAATAGTGTTCAGTTGTTGGTGTAGTGGGAGGAATAGCACCCCATTGCTGGGGTCAGTGGAAAGAATAGTGCCTCATCATTGGGGTTTTTGGGAGGACTACTTTAGCACCCCATTGTTGATGTTAGTGGGTGGAATAGTGCCCCATCATTGGTATCAGTAGGAGGAATAGTGCCCCATCATTGGTATCAGTAGGAGGAATAGTGCCCCATCATTGGTATCAGTAGGAGGAATAGTGCCCCATCATTGGTATCAGTAGGAGGAATAGTGCCCCATCATTGGTATCAGTGGGGGGAATAGTGCCCCATCATTGGTATCAGTGGGAGGAATAGTGCCCCATCATTGGTATCAGTAGGAGGAATAGTGCCCCATCATTGGTGTCAGTAGGAAAAATAGTGCCCCATCATTGGTATCAGTGGAAGGAATAGTGCCCCATCATTGGTGTCAGTAGGAGGAATAGTGCCCCATCATTGGTGTCAGTGGGGGGAATAGTACCCCATCATTGGTATCAGTGGGAGGAATAGTGCCCCATCATTGGTATCAGTGGGAGGAATAGTGCCCCATCATTGGTATCAGTGGGAGGAATAGTGCCCCATCATTGGTATCAGTGGGAGGAATAGTGCCCATCGTTGGTATCAGTGAGAGGAAAAGTGCCCCATCATTGGTATTAGTGGAAGGAATAGCACCCCATCATTGAAGACTGTAGGAGGAACAGTGCCCTAATATTGGTGTCAGTGGAAGGAATAGTGCCTCATTGTTTGTGTCAGTGGGAGGAATAGTGCCCCATCGTTGGTGTCAGTGGGAGGAATAGCTGGATTCACTGGGTGGGTATGTTTTTTTTTTTTTTTGCAGTCAAAAGATCAGAGGTTGAAAAAAAAAAATTCTATTGGGGGGTAGGGGGAAGTGCCTCTTTAAGATAACAAATTAGTACAATTTTATTTTATTTGATTTGGTGATATTGTCTTTTCTATGCAATCAATAAACAAAGATATGTAAAATAAAAAAAAAAAAGAAAAAACTTTACAAACCAACTTTTTTTTACTTTACGCACTGCAAGTTCAAACAAAATTAGTGTGAATGTAGATAATAAAGTACAAAATTGTTTCTATAATTTGTCCTGTTCACAATGACACTAAAATTAGTACCAAGTATTGCAGAGATGATAGATGAAATATAGACATTTTCTGGCTTTTCAATGTTAGATTTTTATTCTAATGAACTCATTATTAAAAATACATACTAACCTTTTTATATGTATAAAAACCATTTTAACAAGAAAAATGGATAAAAAAAAAAAACAAAAACAAAAAAAAAGTTTGAAAGAATAAAAGTTTTAGAAAAAAAAGATAAAAAAAAGTATTAGTATAATACTATAATAATTAAGGGAAAAGGGGTTGAATAGACACAAATTTTAAAAAACACTTTTTTTTTTTTATTTCTCAGGTTACCTTTTAGTGGTTGTAAGGAAAGTTTTTCCCCTATTATAAATAAAGAGGTTTTAGTTACCTACTCCGCGCATTAGTATTGCATAGACCGGCCCCTTATCTCCTTTTCTGGAGACCCCCGTCGGTGCTGGCTGCTCTTCCTCTCCTGTGTGTGCCGCCATAGCAAGTTGTGTGCTATGCGGCCACGATCCCAAGCTGGGCTGTGTGCATCTGTATACACACACAGCGTGGCTCACTCCTGTCCCCTCCTCACAGGACTTAACTGACAGTAGCAGGAGTAAATAGTGCTGTCAGTAAAACCTGTGAGAACAGAGAGAGAGTAGAGAAGAGCTACAGATGGGCACAGCGCTGGATCGATACAGGACCACAAGTAAGTGTCGGGGGGTGGGGGGGGGGGGGGGCAGGAACAGCTAGTGGATGTTTTTTTTTACCTTAACTCATCCAGTGAGCATCAGTTGCAGGAGAGAGGAAGGAGCGCTCAACAGCGGCTAGGAATTCCAAGACGTGATGTCACCCATAAGCTCATGTCCCAGTTGTTATTGGCACTCCCTCTTCTCCCCTGCAGCTGCCGCTCACTAACACGGGACTGAACCAGAGTGGGCTGATATAGGCAAGTATACACACTCTATACTGATGACACACAAATCTATCTTTCTACTCCTCACCTCACCCCTTCAGTCTCCTCTCACATTACTAACCTACTAAGTGACATATCGGCATGGATGTCACTCCACTTCCTCAAACTCCAATCTTTCCAAAACTGAGCTCTTAGTATTCCCCCCAGCCCAAACTACATCACCAATCTTGTCTTCAAATACCACCCAAACCATACTCTCCGCTTCTTGCATGACCTCCTACTCTCTCGCTCCCTTGTCTCCTCCTCCAGGACTTCTCCAGAGCTTCCCCCATCCTCTGAAACTCTCTAGCCCAATTTATCAGACTATCGCCTACTCTGCTCACTTTTAGGCGATCTCTGAAAACCTATCTCTTCAGGGAAGCCTATCCTGCCCTCAGCTAATAATGAAATCTTCTATTCCTCCTACCAGTCCATCCCCCACAGTTATTACCTTTTGTACCACCAGTCCCTCCCTCTTAGATTGTAAGCTCCCAGGATCAGGCCCTCCTATGCCTCTTGTATTGAACTGTATTGTCTCCCGTTATATTGTAAAGTGCTGAGCAAACTGTTGGCGCTATATAAATCCTGTATAATAATAATAATACCAGGGGCGGACTGACCATTTGGAAACTCTGGCACTGCCCGAGGGCCCGGGGTCAGTAGGGGGCCCCATGAGATGCCCCTGGTACCTTTTTCATAGGCTTTTTTGAGTTTGGGCAAGGACACAGGGGCCCTATGATCCCCTATTGCCCGGGGGCCCCATGAGTTGTCAGTCCGCCCCTGAATAATACACATTTTTATCATGCAGGTTAGACAGAACATGTAACAGGAGGGGGGGATATTTGTAAACAACGTTAGGCAGGAATTCCACTTTAACCACTTCCCAACTGGCTGTTGTATATAAACGGCCGGACGGTGGCACTGCAGGGTCGGGTGGCCGTTTATGAACGGCCTCCCCGCACCCTGCTTGTGCGCACTCCCTGGGAGCGCGCAGCACCGCGATCCGGTGCCCGCTGTGTACTCCGGACACAGTGAAAAACCCATCGTTGGACGGGACCTCTGTACGAGGTCCCGATCATGTGATCACTGATTGGCCAATCAGTGATCACATGCAAAGTAGTAAGCAAGATGTCACTTGTGACATCATTGCTTACTACGTGTGAAATCTGTGAATGATCACAGAGGTCACATGGTACAAGGCTATTCACAACAGCCTTGTACCATGTGACAAGCTCTGACCAATCACAGCTCACTCAGTACTTCTCAATGAGTGCAGGAATGCACACAGAGAGAAAGAGAAATGATTGCTTTTACATCCTATATGGGTGTAAAAGCAATCAGTGTAAAAAAAAAAAAAAAAATCTTCATCACCCCCCACAAGTAGTACAGTGTCACCATGGTGACACTGTACTGCTAGGGTGACAGTGTGTAAAATAAATAAATAAAAAATAATATAAAAATGTAAAAAAAAAATGTTTAAAAATTATAATTTTTGGTTATAAACAAATTTGTTTTTTTTTTACTAAAAAGATAACGAAATAAATTTTGGCAAAGATTTATGATGAAATATTATTTATTTGCAAAATTTTATAAAAAAAACACTTGTTCAAAATTTTTGGACTTTTTCATTTACATAGCAAAAAAAATAAAAATCCCAGCGGTGAATAAATACCACCAAAATAAAGCTTTATCTGTCTCAAAAAAATGGTAAAAAATTTATTTGGGTACAGTGTTGCATGACTGCGCAATTGTCATTCAAAGTGTGATAGCGCTGAAAGCTGACAATTGCCCTGGTCAGGAAGGGGGTAAAAGTGTCCGGACTGGAAGTGGTTAAGGGTAGACTTAGCCATGCTTCTAAATCTCCCTTGCCTCTGATGCTTGATCCACATTTGGATTACACTTCAGAGGCGGTGAAGTGATGCAATGCCTCCTCACTGCCTGTTTGAAACCCCATGTTTGTGTTGCTTCCCCATTTGCATAGCGTTTGGGGGCCTTGCTGCCTTCTGATCTCTCTGATCGAAGCATTGTGGCATGCGAACACCCCCCATCAGCTGCCTATTGTAGCTTAAGGGGGGGGGGGGGCAGAAATGTGGCTCAACCACGCAAGAGATGTCATATGGAGATTATCGGTCACAATGTCATCCTATACTGTATATGAATGAAATAGTAAATACAATTGTTACAATACATTGTTACATACAGGGGCGGACTGACAGCTCATGGGGCCCCCGGACAATAGGGGATCATGGGGCCCCTGTGTCCTTGCCCAAACTCAAAGCACACCCAAAAAAGCCTATAAAAAGGTACCTGGGGCATTTCATGGGGCCCCCTACTGACCCTGGGCCCTCAGGCAGTGCCCGAGTGCTCGAATGGTCAGTCCGCCCCTGGTTACATTGTATTTACTCACCCGTAGTCATTGTAGACACTCAGACAGCTGTTCCTGCTGTACAATACAAAGCAATTAGCAGCTGTCATTTTGACAGCCAGTATTTGCCGGTAATAGCTGGCAGGAGGAGAGGAGCTGGGCATTAGAGACGCATCCTATGAACTTTGTTGCTGTTTTTCAGGACGTATCTTTTATCTTCACAATTCCCAAGGAGGATGGGAAGTGGATATCCCCAAGAGTGGATATCCTCAAATTGATCTCCTCTTAATTCCTATTAGTAAATCTCTGTGATGGGATGGGACACAGATGGAAAAAAAAGAAAAAACTTTTTTTTTTTTTTTTACTTTGCGTTTTTACTTTGCGTTTACTTTATTATTATTATACAGTATTTATATAGCGCCAAAAAGTTTGCTCAGCGCTGTACTTTACTTGCCCTACTGCAGCTGTTTCACATTGAAATCGGAGGCTGAGCCACATAGACAGGGCCATGGATAAGGGGTACCACCAGTTCTCCTGTACAGGGCCCAGGCTAACAGGGGGGCCCAGGCAGCTGGGGGAATCAGATGTAGACAGGGAGGTAATTCGGCTCGATGGGGGGGCAATTACTGGAACTGATCCCCTGTACGGCTCTCCTCTGCAGCAGCTGAAAGCTGGCTTCTTCTCTCCCTCCAGCTGGCTGCAGAGGGAGCCATACAGGGGATCGGTTCCAGTAATCGCCCGCCTTCCTGGTGCACCCATCACCCTCCCTTTGCACCATACATTTCCCCCTGCTGCTCAGGCCCCCCCTGCAGTGCTGCCGGCTTACCCACCAACTGCTGCAAGCACTCAATAGGATCAGGATGGTGAATGGAGGAAGGGTCTTGTACATGTCACATTTACCAGGCTCCTTTCTTGAATGAACACAATGAGAGATTGATAACAATCACCCACTGTGTTCATTCATAACTAATACATTGTAAGCTGTGTTTTTTTTTTTTTGGTGGTAGTGGGGTGCTCTCAGGTTGGCTGGCATGGGGCCCCGTGATTTCTAACAGCAGCCTTGAAATAAGATGTAGGAGGGGAGGTAGTTCGACATGATGGGGGGGCAATTACTGGAACTGATCCCCTGTACGGCTCTCTCTGCAGCAGCTGAAAGGTTGGCTGCATGGGGCCCCGTGATTTCTAACAGCAGCC